CAAAAGTATATTAATGGTTGACTTCAGAGGTCTTGCCTTTTATCCTTCCTTGATGCTTTCTTAATGACCTTCATTAAGGTCAGTAACTTGATGTTCAATGAAGACCAATAATTTTTTACAATTAAATAGAAGATGTATACTCCTACAGCATATGACATCCTCTCATTCTTAGCATGAAATGAACTTCTAAAAAAGGGCTGTTACAGACTTCTGAATGATATCAGTATCAAAAAAAAAAGGGAAGCACATATACACAGCATTGTACTCCCAAGAGCAGCAATTGCCCTTGCTGCATATAGAGAGTGCTAACACCTGATACAACAGTAATTTCCCTGATCTGCTCGATTTCTGGTGTTGATTTGACATCAAATGTATCCTGCTAGCTTCAAGATCAGGGATCTTTGTCACTGATGTCATAAGAACAAGGGCAGTTTTACTTCTGCAGAGACTCATGGCTTGGTAGAAGTGTTCAAGCTGCCCTGTGCTTGACACACAGTTCAGTCCTGCAATGCTTTTATGCAGTGGTAAGTAAATAGAGAGGATCCTATCACCTCCCCAATTACTACTAAAGTAAAACTGGGCCATGAGGGGTCTTTCCAGGGTATTAGTTCTAGATGCATAACTATGAAACACAAAACATTCAATTACATTCAATTACAGCTCCTTCATGCCATGTAACCTAATGAAGAGCTCTGTTACAGAACTAGGATTAGAGACTGTATCTGTGCCAGGGTACAGCCAGACCTGTAATTTTTGAGGGTTTGGTTGAAACAGAAGTTATTGCAGCTTAGTTTCTGTGTGTTAGCAGAGCCATCAGCTAGGCCATGATGCTGGATGTTCACAGGCTATTAGACTAGAGAACGTTTTAACTATGATCTCTGTGAGAGAGACTTGATTTATGGTAAGTGATATCTGTCATGATTTTACCAGCAATTTGTTCAACAAACATGGTAAAAATGAACAAATAAGAAGATTCCCAAACTCCTGAAACCCTGAAGCATTGTAAAACAGGAAAGAGCTTAATAAGGTAGAATTGTAACACCAAAAAATTGGCTGAGAGATTTGTGAAAAAGCATGATCATTCAAAATTTGAATGAAACAGAATAGAAACAACTGCCATAAACTTTTATTTCTGTTTGGAAAAACATGTTTTAATGGCTTATGTTATCATGCCATAGTGTTGCTAGAAATGCAGGTGCATGTACAGTTAGAGTATGAATTTTGTTTTATTAATTCACAAGGGCATCAAGGCATAACTAACCTAAATCTCTTAACAAAAATTTTGAACCTAATGGAATTTTTTCTATTTACTTCACTGGGCTTAGGATTTTAGTCTATAAAAAATTGCTTTTTTAGGACATAACCCCCAGGTCCATTGAAGCCAATGAAAGCTTTTCCACTGGCCATAACTGACCTTTCATTAGGGCAGTAGTTCCTTTACAAAAGCCTGTTGTCATTGCTATAATCTAGCAGACCTTCTTCACAATTATACTTGTTATGGTCACATTCCTGAAACTGCTTTTGTCTTCCTTTATCTGAGAGAGAGTTAACAAGGCCTACTTTTCTATGTTTCTAATGGGCTGCTATGATCTGAAGCCATCAACAGCCCTCTTGATTTTTTTTTTTTTCTGTGTGATTTTGTGCAACGTTTTCTTCTTTGCTTGTTTTTCTCTTTGATGTCTTTGAATATCTTGGATGAGAAGGCAGGATGTAGTGGTCTTACTTTTTCCTTATGATATGTTGTCAGTAAATAGGCAGAACAGCAGTTTTACATGTATTTCTTTTACCCTTAAATCTACAATTGCAATTTGGATTTCTTCTTTTTTTAATCATTAAAAATTATTTTATTTCTTGTAAAAATAAACCAAGATTTTTGGTTCCATTCTCCATCAAACGCAACCTTTTTAGTTTGCTACTTTCTCAAGTTCTGCTTTGTTTTATCATTAGTGGTTTCTATCCATTACTTTAGCTTCCAGTTCCTCTTCAAAATATTGCACAAATCTGCTTTTAATTTTTTTTTCATTGTGATCTCAAGAAGTTATTTCCTTCCTGTGCTCTTTATTTTGGGGAACCAGTTTCTGCTGGTTCTACCTTCCACAACCAGTGTTTGCCAGTTCATGAATTTTAGCTCTAATTCTAGTTTTACTAAACCAGGAGGATTTTCTCCTTCTAGTTTGGTTTGAATTTTATAGGATTGACAAGTTGTTATGAATTATTTTGGGGTTCTACTATTTTTTTCTCTTGGTTTCTATACAATTTTTATTGTCAAATGCTAGAAGTTGAATATCTCTCTGGGCAAAGAGATGAACCACTTTGGCTTCTGCAGAACTTAGAGTTAGTTGGCAGATGTACTTCCCCAGTTATTCCCAAGACTAATTTAAACTTGAAGATCTTTCACAAGGAGCATGAGGTTGACCATAAAAAGACAAATGCAAAATCCTGGATGGATTCCCTGCTATGTTACAGGCTGGGGACTGACTCGCTGGGTTGTTGAATTGTGAAAAGGGACCCGGGGTGCTGCTGGACACTATGCTAAGCATGAATCAGCACGGATGTACTAAAATTGTACAGCCAGGAGAGCACAGAAAGTCATTATCCCCCTTCACTCATCACTCTTTAAATTCCATCTGGAATCTAGTTTTAGGCTCCTACCATAGGAAATATATTGACAAACTTCTGTGAGCTTAGAAGAGGTCTGTCAAGACACCCAGGGGCTGGTGTATATTGCTTTGTGAGGAAAGGCTGTGGAACCAGGCTTGCTTAGCCTGAGGTCGAGGTGACATCAGGGGAACCTAGCAGCATATCTGCAAGCAGGATACTACAAAGATGGAGCCATGAGCTGCACCATTGAAAGGGGGAGATTCCAACTGCATAGGAGGAAATAAAACCCCAAAACCACTGGAAGGATAACTGACACTTAAGATAATTGGAGCAGGTCACTCAGAGAAGTGAATAATCTGGTTTTTCAACATCAACTAGACAAGGTGCTAAAAATTTTGCTTTGAATTAGTATTGATCCTGTTTTGAGCATTAGGTGGAACTAGATCATATCCCAGACTTCCTTCCAACCTAAATGATTCTGTGAGCATCTTTTTCACATAAAGGAAGATAAGAAATATACATAAAAGATGTAACCAGCCCTGTCTATTGAAAAAAACCAACTAGCCTAGCAAGAATAATTATGCTGTAGCCACACAGCCAAATTTGTGAACCCTGCTATGCTGGGTGTTGATAGCAGAAGATATCCTTGTGTTTGTAAAGTTTGCAATCCAATCAGCTAAACTGGACATACGGTGAGAGCAGGAACACACTAAGTTGAAGTGATTTTCTAGAAGTCATTCCTGTCTTCAGGGTATCCTGAGTCCTAGTTCAGTGCTTATATACTGGACCACACTGCACTTACACTCTCTGCATAGATCTTGAATTTTTCTGAAGATGAATGTTACATAAAACATATCCTATTTCAGAGAGAAGTGGTCATTCAGAAGATTAAGGTCTTTTTCAAATGGGATGTTCATCTATGCCAGGTGGTATGGTAAATCTGAGTCATAAATATCTTTTATTTCCTTGGTCAGATAGTGCAGTGAAAGTGCAACTTGTCATTTTTGACTTCCAGTTTCAAGAGCACCAAGAATTTGAGTTTCTGAATTTGTTCCTTCATTTCTCAGCAACTGACATATTCTCCTGGATATTAAATGCTTAAAATTTAAATGATACAAAATTACTTTGTTTATCCCTTCGGATAGTTGATTTTATTTCTTTTTCTGCAGGAATATATCTAATCTGATCTTATGCCAAATACACTTTACATTCTAGAAACTTCTGAAATCTTTACACAGCCTAATACTGCTGTTGGCTGCCATATGCTGTCACAGGAGCTGTCCCTATTCTCCTGCTTTCTGGTCAGGGTTATCCTCCTATCTTCCCTTGCAGATCAAGCAAGGTAATTTGGGATGAAACATTTTTTTCTGCCTTCTAGTGTAGTCATATGGTTTGTAAAATCTAATTAAATGTGGCTGCATTTGGGCTGCTGCCCTTTTATAAGGAAATGCAAGTAGGACATGATGCAGGGGGAGCAGAGTTATTCAAATTTGTGACTCTGAATTTAAGAAGCAGTTTGCAGATTGTCTTCTGCATTAAGAAAAACACCAAAGTCAATCATAAACGCAGTCAGTCACTGAAACTTCCGAAGAATTATCTGACTTCACTGCAGGCACAGATAAATTAGAGATTATGGGCATAAGTCTTTTTTCGCACAAGGGTAAATCAGGAGCCCATCACTGAAGTCAACAGATCTCAAGAAAAGAATTAGGCCCTATGGCTTTTAATAAGAGGAATACAAAGAGTTTAATTACAAGGAATCAAGCTAAACCTCCCTTCCCCCATACACAGACATTGCACACATTCTCTGGCAAAGTTTGTCTCTTGCAACATTTTTGTACTTCTATTATCCTTATCCTAATCAGATACTACCAGTGTGCACATAACAGGGACTTAGATGCTGTAAGGATGGGGCCATTTAGATATTGACATGTGGGGTGGTTAAAGCACTAGTAGAGCTGCAGCTCAGTTCTGTGTCCAAAAACCTGGTGAAATCCCAATTATGCTGCAGTTTTTGTCCTCCATGTTGTGACTCAGAAAACCCCAAAATCCTCAAAGAGGAGGAGTTCCTATTCTGTGCCAGGGAGGGAGTTCCTCATGTAAGCAATACCTCTTTAAGGATTAAAATAATGCATAGCACATGTAATTTAACAGCTACTGGAAATTCAAGTAATACAAATATAATGCTCTATTTCCACATATTTAAATGATCTTATATGTCTATAAAAAGACTTGAAAATAAATCACACAAATAATTACATTTAAGCCATCCTCTATGAAAACCTCTGGCAAAAAAAAAGCAGGTGCAAGACAAAGATCTCAGTTGTGGAATATAAATAATAGTTTAGGAGTAATCAGCTGTTGCACCAGATTATTTTGACAAAAATGGAAGTACTTACAGTCTAAGTGACTATGTCTAATGCCTTCCACATCTTCAGCATGAATGAAGTGGTAACATCTCTTTCCTACAATATCTACAGGGGTCAGATCCATGTAATCACTAATCCTAAAAAGGAAAAAGAACATACAGCCTATAATTCAAGAAAGAAAAGAACAAAAGAATTGTCAAATGACTCAGAAAGTGAAATCTGCTAAAAAGTTTCTTCAGCATTATATCATTAGAATGGAATATCTGTATAAATGAGACAAGGGCTTAGAGGAAAAAAAAAAGAAACAATTCTTTTTAAAGAAACCTGGAAATTATTTTATCCATTTAACTAAGTGGAAAATTAAATTCTAGTGCATATTCTCCATGTAGCATAACACCAGGACAATATAATTCCATGAAATTGTAAAGCATTAGCGGCAATCCAAAATCCTCATTAAAAGACTAAGATGATTCAAGGTTACATAATAAAGTAGAAACATGTTATGTTTATACCAAATGATTAGAGACACATTTCATTTCAACAGATTGGTCTTCTATTGGGTATATTCATGAAAAAGCTCTTCAACCATTTCTTGGCACCAAGTCCAAACTCATATTTCAAGGGATATAATTTAAATGCTGAGACACACAGATGCCTCAGGGTGTTATCTTTTTTAGTCTAATTCATTTGGGAGCCCAGCTTTCACTCTGGGCCCTTTCAACTGGGACTTTGTTGTTTATTGCACATAGAAACTTTAAAATCTATTCTGCAGACCTTTGTGTGTGTGTGTGTCTGTGTGAGTGTGTGAACTCGTATCATGGAGGGTCAAGGTGTCAATGTCCTTAAACACAGAACAGAAATTAAAAAGAAAATTGGAATATGTCTTGCTCACACAAGCATTTGAAACTATGTCTGTTTTCTAGACATAGAATATTTTTTTTAGGGTTTGAAATAATCTGCAATGATTGTGGTACATTCTATGATAAGATCTGGGAGAGAAAATCCCACCCTGCCTGGTAGAAAGGGGCAATCTTCAGGCAGGCCACTATCCTGTGGTCCTGTAAAACATATGCATAGGCTTGTGTTTGAGCAGAGCAATGGTTCCACTGACTTACAGGACTGTTAACATAATTGAAATTTAAAGGTAGGTATATGCTACAGTGTTCTGCTGAATTTGCTGAAATTGTGCACGTATTTGTAGGCTTGAGGCTTGCTACACAAGACTGTTTCTGCATAACTGAAGGAACTACTGACAACCACTGTCATGGCCAGCAAGCCAAGCCTCTTCCATGTGCTTATTTCCTTTTGGGCACATATTAGCAGATGTGGTATCACAGTCCACATTAAACGGACTGTTGTCTCTCTCCAAATGATCTCCAATCCTTAACAGTTTCACATTCTGAAAACACACAGACTGATCATGCACTCTAGCAGCAGTCTCTTCATTTTGCTTTTAGTAATTTATCATCATCTGAGATGATTTTTCCCCTTCAGGTGCTTTTCTCACTCCACTGACTAATAAAGAAATCCTAGATCACTTTAGGTGGTGAATCTTAGATGACAAAAATCCTACATTTGCAAAATAGACACAGATTACCATACCACTTTTGAGGCAACAAAATTTTACATCCATGTTTTACACTCTCAAAGAAAAATATTAATTTTTAGAAATAGCCAGTATACCAGCTGTATAACAGATCTTGTCTCAGAGGGGAGCTAATGTCTGGCTAGTTTGGGAACTGAGTCCAGGATTATGAAGGAGATCTCTTCATTCAGAGGAAAGTAACAAGATGCACCCAAAGACTTGAGTAATGTCACTTCTGCTCACTGCTGTTTCAAGCAGGCAACCACTTGGAAAAGTAGGAGTACTATTGATCTCACCCCTGCTGATCCAATGGTCCACTGTGAGCATTCATTTCAGTTAAGTGGCATGGCTTCTGCTCCACACTCCCTGCAGCTGCCAGTAACTCCCCATTGCTCCATAAATAGTGCTTACAGCTGGCCCAGCATGGATCCATTTTTCTCTGTTTTCATCAATGTTGTGCTTGCTTTACTGTGGCACCACAAAGAATTTCATAGCTGCCCGCAAGTGCCAGGAGTCAAGCCCATATATTCAGGGAGGGATACTTATCTCCTTTTCTATAATCCCAGAAGAGACATCCCAACATCTCTGACTCAGAGAACAGCCTTGGCAAACACCCAGATAATTAATCTGACAGCTTCAATCAGCTGTTCCGTTAATTCCTTCCCATCTTCTGTGGTTTTTGGTTTTTTTTTCCATTTCTCCAGTTTTTACACTCATATTCTGCGTTGTAACTGCTATGACTGGAAATCCTGCTGCCTCAGTGAGATCACATTCACCCCACAGGACTGGCAGAAGTATTTCTACTATTTGACATCACTTTTCTAAACTATTTTTAACAGATCTTTGAAAATGACACAGGGGCTTAAAGTGGAATTATTGTAGCATACATTCAAGTACCACCATATGCATTCTGCATTAGCATGAGAGAAAATCCATCACAAACAAGGAAAAGTTGCTTTATAATGTTGTCTTCAGCTTAAGAATCAAAAAACATTAATAAACTCAACACTTTCTTGCTGTCTTACCACAATTTACCATGTCTTATCAGCCCTTCCTATGTGATTACCAATCAGTGCACCTCACCTGATGAATTTTACAGTTTTCAGTGATGTCTTTTTCAGGCATTTGAAAGTTTTATTGCTACATGAATATAAAGGGAAGGTTTGAGAAAAATGTTTAATTAAAAACCTCCCACATATACAATTCAGGGCTCATAAAAATGCCAAACTCACAGCAGAGAAAGGATACATCTTCCTAATTTGGCCTAAAAGTTCATATCATACTTGACCTGATGAAACAGTTCATTTTTCACATCTATTTGATTCCTGGATTTTTTTACGGAGGCTGCCAATAAAGATAGCAGCAAGTGCAGATGATTTTGTTAAAAGGGAATCTGTTCATTAGGAACTGGATAGATACCAGCAACTCATTTCAGAGAGGCCTTTGAAAAACTCTGTAGTGGTAGCAGCTTTCCATTGCTACCTAGGTAGGTCACAGTGAAATCAAAGATTTAGGGAAAAGTTTTGTTCTAGATCCTATTCCTCATCCCCAGAGCTCTTTTGCCAGCTGCCAGTTTATACAGCATCTGGATACTCACTGGGTAGAGTCTCTGGCAAAAAGCCCAAACTTTAACGCCACTGTCCACTTTTTCTGTGACTTTGTGCAAGCCACTTTCCATGAAGCAGTTTTTCCAAGCTTAAAAATGAGCATAATATATTCACTTTTAGATAATGTATTGGAAGTATAGATGAAATGTTCTGTCCAATACTCAACTAATATTACTAAAAAAGGTATTGCAGCAGTGCAGCAATGTGACAGCAAATACAACCTCATAATTAAAATCCAAGGTTATTTTAAGTTGTTTAAGATCCTGATTCAACAAAACAGTTGAGTTTATCCTTTTTAATAAAAGTTTATACTGATGTGCTATCCTGATCATAGGTGTTCCACTATAATCGGGCAATTATGATTGCTCATATCAGAGAGCTTCCACTCAATTTATGATATGCCATGGTTATTGTCACAAGAAAAGCTTGCAGTAGTCACTCTGTTTCTTCAACTTTTTGATACTAAGTTCCCTTTGCAAAATTTCTTTTGGCTATATTGCTTTCCTTCTTCCTTTCCAATCTTTTCCCCTTACCTCAGACTTCCATCTTGGAAGTGGACCCAAACTTATTACTTGTAATTTCCTTCTCAGATATTTTTAGTCTGCTCTAAATACCTTTTCCCTGGATTATATTTTTATTTTTCAGGACTTTGAGGTCTTAATGGCCTTGACCAGCCCCTCTGCTTCCCAGGCCTTCCCCCACCAAACCCCCATGGTAGCCCCTGCCAGTGCCCAGCTCCCTGCAGCCCTGCCTGGCCATCAGCCCTCCTGACCCGACCCCAGCCCACTCCACTGCCTGTCTTCAGGAGATGCCCAATGCCAGGGGCTGGAGCTGCCCAGCTCCCCTCTGGGAAGGTGGGATGGGCCCTGGCTGCCATGTCCTGCTCACAGGTCACTGTGCAGAGCCCCTGGTGCTACGGGCACCCAGCCCCCAGGGAACAGGCAGCTGAATTTAAATCCTCTCTTTCACCTTCCCAGATCGCTCATCACTATCACACAGAACATAGCCCCCCCAACCAACTCTTCATCACCTGTTCCCATTTCACTGCTGTCTTTCCCAGTATGCCCTTAACCAATTTTATTCTTCAGTTTTCCCACCTCTAACTGCAACAGATCCCACCTCTCTAGCCTACTATCTAGGCCATCTGTGCTTCTGTTCCATTAAACACTGAGCACGATAGCTGTAATCTGCAAATTAGTTCAAAAATGGAAAACTTTAAAACTTCAGACAGAAAAACTTGTGCAGGGGAGGATGGAGAAGCATAAGGACAGGCATACAGGTCAGACCAACGTCTGTCTAGTCCCAAATCTTGCCTTTGAGAGGAATGGTGAAAGATTGTAAAAAGCAGCGAAAGCTTAGATTAATATTTCCTGGCATATCTTCCCCTATTCCAGAAGACATCCTGCAGATTACATTTTTAAATTTACCTTCATCTTCTAAGAATGTAATGAAAATGAAGGTAGTGATGATGAAAGTGAATTCAATGCTCTCCTACAACACCAGGATGACATTGCAAGAGTCAAAAATTTCTGAACTTCTTGCCAAGCCCATGAAACAAAGAATACACACAACTAAAACAAAGACGTAAAGGATAGGCTGTACCTATTTTCACAGTAAATGATATTGAGGTCCATATTCACACGAGTGACAAACATGTGGCAGTCAATCCTGACTTCATTAATGGTAGGAGGTGGCAAGGCATGAGCAACGACAACAAGTCCCATGATTTGGCTGGGCACTGTCCGTCCGTGTGACAGCGACACTCTCAGACGTAACCGGCCTGTTATGTGGATCACCTGCAAAATAAAAACAATAAAAAATACACAGTGAATTCTGAATGCAACTCTGACATCAGTTTCTTTTAAATAATAGCTTTATTAGTCCCTACAGATATTGGCTGTCAACATGCCCTATATTTTCTATGGCAAAAAGAACATAACAGGCAAATGCTTCACATTTATCAAGTAAAAACCTAAGAAATGCTATGGTGTTGATTTTTGCTGTGGTGGCTGTTACAAAAAAACTCAAAGAAAGAAGAGAACAACAACAACGAAGTAGAAATTCAACAAAAGAGAGAGTGGGATAAAACTGAAATAATGAACCCAGAAATTAATAAAGTAACCATTTTATAATATTTGGAAATTGAATATGACACAAGAATGACCAACAATTTTGAAACACAATGGATTTAATTGAGTTGGTAGTCACGTACAGCATGGAGACACTGTTCACTGACTTGAATTTCTTCTCTGTTGCTGGCAATTTGAGAAGCAACAGCCTACAGGGGGTGCAGGATAGTCTTCCTACATCCACAGTCAAGCATTTAAAGAGTTGGTAGATGTGTAATGCCTTTTCCTAGTGCACTAGGCATATATGGAGAGCTCTGGGAGTGGTGGTTTTCTTCCATATGCACAAGATAAAAGCACAAGATGCAATAAATAGCATCCCTAAGAACTGCGTCCCCCTTCTAAGAAAGCTACCTGAAACTCTGGGAAAAGAATAATACATCACTTCCAATTTCACTCCTTCAGGAGTTCTGCTTATAGATAAAGGGGTTGCTTTATCCAGTAAAAGAATAAATACAGCATATTGAAATGAAAATGCAAACTGCAGTTCCTGTACTCATGGAAAAGAGAGGCACAAAGATTAAAAGTTGCAGGCTGTCACAGATTTTCATCCTCAGACTGTGGTACAACATTGACATTAAGAGAACATTTCCAGGAGAGAAGGGCCCCTTTCTCTGTCATCCCAGACTCCCTACCCAGAGGTCAACAGAGAATTTGGTCGATTCCTGGGTCACAGGAAGAGGTGACAAAAGTGGGGTAATAAGCACACTGATACTCATCTCCCAAAGATAGAAGACAAACTCTTTACTTCTGATCTCAGATTAATAATAAAAAGTGAGAGAGAGAATAAGATTTGTAATTTTTAAGATTGCAAATCACAAAGTGCATCCAAATTCAGATCTAATTCATGCTAGTAGATCTGCGATCTAAGACTTGAAATTAGTTTCTTTTTTAACCTAGGCATTGAAACATCTCCTTTCACCATTATTTTACCTTTTGAGCCTAGCCAGTGTGGTGAATCAGAATGAGGAAAGTGATTAGCTGCTGTGTATGGCTACTTCAGTTACAGGTTTCTGACCACCCATGTTTAAAGTAACTATTGCCTAAACTCACACTTAATGCACCTTTCAAGGGCAAACTATTCTATGAATATTTGAAAAAGTTCCTAAAGGCAAAGATGCAAAAAAAGCATTTCGAATCCACTTTAATTATTTCTTTTTCTTAAAACCTCATTAACTAATGAAGAAATAGCTAAAAGAAATAGGATTAACTTCACAGGAGGGGCAGTAATAGTGTATTTTGCTCCTTCGAGCTAGGCTTGCATATACATCTGCTTTTTATCATTATCTGTCTCTTTTTATCATGCAGTTTCAGCTTACTGCAAAACTCAAATCTGTAAATACTTGGAAAAATGCTGATGGATTACTGTTAAAAATGTGAAACTTTATCCTATACTGAACGTGCTATGCAAAAGTATCATTTTTCTGTTGTTTTTCCATAAATGTCCTTATGTTAATATGTTTGAAGTTAGCATGAACACTTCAGGGAATTTTAAGCTATATTATATATATCTTTGTATTTTTCTAAACTTTCATGTCATTTGCAGCTAAACCTCAACATGATTTGCTTTTGAACAACTCTCTATTCAGGCAGTACCTCAATTTTTTTTCTGAGTCTTCATCTGAAATACACTTCAGATGTAGTATTGCCCAAGAGACAGTTCCAAACCTGCTAGAACCACCACATATTAACATTGTTGAATTTCAAGAGAATTTGCTACCAGATTCAAATTATTTAGCTTGTTCCTAATTCTACCATGGATCAAAACATGTTCTGAATTCCCATATGACGTCAAATTTTAGGGGTCAGCACTCAGTTGCATTCTGATTCTGCACACTGGGAAAAGTACAGCAAACCACCCATCAGTTCCAGTGCCTGTGTGCCTCTAAAGAAGCTGTATTTCCATGCCTGAAATCCTTTTCTATGATAACATTAGTCAAATGCACCAAGTGGGAAAATCTAATTGGTAGTAAAAAACAATTCTAACTGTCATGACCTTGTCTATATTGTGAGTATTGCCACTTTTAACACTGGTTCATTTGAACTGGGATTAGGGGTGATAGGAATGATAGGGTCAATTATCTCCCGTAGCTAAAATTAATCTCTTTATAATTCAATCCCGCAGCACTAGTCTATCATATCCTAAAGCAGTATTATGACTTTAATGAAGCTGAATTGCAACAATAAACTGTTTTATGAAGGACAATACTTGGCTCCAGAAGTAAATATTTAATAAAAATTTGCTAGGAATGTACTGAAAATCAAAAGTAAATGCAGTTCTTCCGTGCAGTTTTCTTTATAAGTGCTTCCTTCTGAAAAGTTAGTCTAATCAATCTTTAAACTCTATCTTCTTTCTAATACTGCCATATGAATAGACAGGCACATTTAGATGTCACAGCAAGAGAAGACAGCAATACTGTGTTCTGTCTGTTACAAAAACAGTGGGTGAATGTCCTACTCCTGGTCACAGGATCATCAGAAACTTTGTATATCAAGAGCTGTACAGATTTCCCCGTCATTTCTTCATCTACCTCTTAAACTGAATGAATAACAAGACTCCTTTTTTATGTTGCTGGGATCTGGACTGGGTTAACTGTCAGAGACTTTGCTTACAAACTGTTTATTAGTAGGTGTAACTATGATTCTATGATTCATCCTATAGAAGCACAGGGAAATCTTATGGTTGAAATAAACCATGTGACGTGATCAAGACCAGAATTTTGCTTAGGCCATTCTGATCAATATTATTGCTTGTAGTATAACCTTAGACAGGCAGGTGGGTGAAGAAAAAAATATTTTGCAAAAACAATACTTTTAACATTGGGAAATGAAAATAAGTCATATACTCTAAAGATGTAATGCTGAAGCAAAACAAATACTGCAAAAATCTTCTGTACTGCTTAAATGCTTTGTTTAAAATGAAAAATCTAAATCAACTTTGCCTGACACTCCAACATTGGAAAAAAATTATTTGGCTTTTATTTTTAGCTGATTAGAAAACGGATTTGCAAAATATTGTAAGTACATGTAAACACATGAGTTTATGAGTGTGGGAGTGTTAACAAGCCACACTGGTTGGACAAATATATATTTCTTTTCCCTGCCATATGCTCTCTTTAGTCATCTGTTAGCGATATGCACTTAGATGTGCTCTACTAATGTCTACTCATTATAAACAAGCACATCACAAAGACCTTGATAAAACCTTCCCTCTGTCAATACTTAAGGAAAATAAAGCCCAGCAATCGAAAAACACATCTGGAACCTGCTCATCATCCTTTAAAGCTAAATCTCACCTCTGAAGATGGAAAATACTTTCTTTGTCAAAAGATATCTTTAAATATTACATCCATTCTTTTTCATATACATGTGATGTCAGAGAAAGGACATGCATTACCAGAGGCTATAAAAACCTGCAAGCATGAAAAATCTGTGAGTTTCACCTTTCAGATATCTCTGTGTGCTTCAAAACTTAAACTTCAATTTGAAACAAATTTCTAAACTACTTCTTTTGTTCTCTGTGTAAATGACTATGCCAATTTATTGTGTGTGTGAAACCACAGCACTGGCAGAAGTTGTCCCTCCAGGTCATTTAATGAGACATTAAATTTGAAGTTTGAAAATTATTGCGTAGAATAAATTTTTTTAGAAAACAGTCATATACAAAAACATCCGAATGTACTTAGTGTGTGCACCTAGGTGTTTGTTTAGCTATTTTGTAAACAACTCTCACACACATTCACTCCCTTTTACAGAAACAACTGTTTCTGAAGGATATATATACATATATATATCTATATATATGTATATAAACACACTACATACACACACACACACACACACACACACACACACACATATATATATTTGTTTTGGTGTCTCAAAGATGTTATTTTATACTTCCAAAGTCAACACCTAAATCTTTAGAACACAATCAATTTAAACGGCTGAAATTGGCCAGAGAGATATCTTACAAACTATACTCATAGCCTCTAATTTTTCTTTCAAAGAGTTATGTTCTCCTTCATTCACTGATACATATACATGCATCTCAAAACCTGTCTGTGACACCAGTGAGACAAATGCTTTAACACTCTGCAAGGTAATGAGTTCCTACATGGTTTCAGGTGATTTCTAAAGAGTGAACATTTGGAAGCTGACTTTCCTCCAGACTATTAAGAGAAAACAGAGTCCAGTGTCACCTTGGGAATTTACACAATGATATCTGAAAGTTTTTCCTTTTCTGACATAAAAATATAACCATGTCTATCAACCTAAACTTCAGTATAGGTTTCTTTATTTACCACACTTTTGTCCTTTCCTGCCTACGTCTCACTGCAATCACTACAACATTTATACTTGCTTATATTTTCTCATGGTCAGAAACTGTTTGATTCTGTGGTTCCAGAGCACCATCCTCACTGAGATCCAAGCCTGCTCTCCCAGTCTTCATGAAAGCTTTGGGAGAAGACATCATTGGCTTATACTTATCATTGGGATCTGAGAGGTCCAGTAAGGCTTTGTGTTTGCAGTTCCCGTAACACTTCCATATCCCTTTCTCAGACTTATTTCATTTCTATAAACACTACAATATTACTAACAGGAAATTCCATGGAACAGGACATTTTGGAAAAGGAGTGAGCCACTACAGCTGTAATATGTTGGATCAT